GAGGAAAAGGCCTTGCCTAGACTCTTTGTAGCTCGCTGTCCCTACGCGCCGTCTGCAGCTAGCTAGCTACCGCGCCAGGAACTGTAGTCAGCTAGCCATTGAGCCGGGAAGTGCAGCTAGATAGCTGGCTAGCCAACACGTACGCGCTTTAAAACCACTGTAGCCTCGTAACTTCGAGCCCAAAGACCCATAAGGCTCCAGCCAAACTGGCGGGCATTCCGCGGGCTCAAGACGGGGTGAGGGAGGCTCCCGCTGAGTGCAGCAGCTGCTGCTGCCTCTTGTGCTACTTCTGCAGCAAGAAACCTCTCCTCAGCCGTAGCCCCGCCTACGCTCGGCGGTGTTGCTGTTCCTGCTGCAGCAGACGCTGCGCGCAGGTCACGCTGGCCCCCCAAGGGCGATGCAGCAGCAGCAGCTGCTGCTGCCGCAGCTGCTGCTGCATCTGCTGCTTCAGCGCTCCCCGCGCTCCACGCATGTAGCAGCGCAGCAGCAGCAGGGCACTCCTGTGGCATCGTGACGGCCATGTTCAGGACAGTCTGTCAAACAGCGACAGCAGCAGCAAACCCCAGCTCCTTCTAATTCAAGTTTATCACTGAAATGTAACTTAGCTGCAATTAAAGGGGAAATTTTTGCCGCCTTACTTGGTGGGCTGTGCAGCCGTCAATCTCCAGCGTCTCCCTGGTAGCGGCTTCTCTCAGCAGCTGCAGAAGCAGCTGCTCTTTGGCATCACTCTCCTGCTGCTGCTGCTGGGGCTGAGCCTGCTGCTGTTGCTCTTGCTGCTGCTGGGGTCGCTGCTCCAGCAGTGCCAAGAAAAGATCAGGGAGATGCTCCTTCAGCAGCAAAATGCGAAGGTCGGGCTGCTGGTAGGCCGGGTGCAGCAGCACAGTAAAGAGGCACAAGAAGTAGTTGCCGAAGCAAGGAGGAAAGACATGGCGCAGCCACAGCAGCAGCGTCTGCTGCGCTGACAGCCGACGCTCCGGCAGCTGCAGCAGACCACCGTGCAGCAGCAGCAGCCGCACTTTGCGGCAGGTCAGCCCCTCCAGTGCGTGCAGCAGAGCAGCGGGAGGCGGCGAAGACGACGGGGCAGCAGGAAGCCCAGGAAGAGAAGCACGCATCTCCTCCTGCATTGCGGCAGCAGCAGCAGCAGCTGCTGCTGCTGCTGCTGAGTTGCGGGGGCGGCGAGCGGTGCCACTGCTGCTGCCTGCTGAAGCCGCAGCTTTGCTTTTCTCTTCTGAGCCTGCAGATTCATCTTCTTTCGGCTGCTGTCCCGGTTGCTGCTGTTGCTGCTGCTTCTGCTGCTGTTTGGCTGCGTTGAGCCAGTTTCTGAGACCGAGCAGGTGCAGCAAGTCTATGACGTCTGCGCCCTCCAACAGAATCTCCGCCAAAGTGCAATTCACCGAAAACATTTCTGCAGCCTGCAGCTCCTGAATGCCTTCGGGCAAAGGCTCCTGGGGGTCTTCGTTGTCCACAAATCTAATGCAAAAAAAATACAAATAAAAGAAGCAGCAAAAACAAACAAAGACCCTCAGCCCCCAGGCAAGGGGCCCTCAAAGGGCAAGGCAAAGGCACCAAAGGGATTCGTTGGAGACAGAAAAAAACAAAAACAGAAAGAAAATAAAGTCCTCAAGCGCGTGCAGCCAGGAACAAAGAGACAACAAAAAAGAAGCGTCTGCGCCAACAGGAAATAGAAAAAAAAAGCAAAGCCGAAAGACTCAAAGAAAAGCAAACAAAACCAGCACAAAGACAAGCGCTGCAGCCCGCAAAAGTGCTGTTGGCAAGGCTTTAGCTGCAGCTAAGCGCTCCGCGGCAAATGCCCCTTTTGGCAAGAAAGAGACAGCCAAAAGCTGACTCAAGGCGCTCTACCAGGGCCGGCACCGAGCCAAAGAGCCCATGGGAAGCCCCAAAAGCTCTGCATGCGCCTTGCATGCAGCGAGCTGCATGCAGGCTGCATGCGGCTCACTGGGGAAGCGCAGGTGCGGGGCCTGCCGCTGCAGTTGCTGCTCTCGCACTGTCAGCCACATGCAGCCTTCATGCAGCTGGCTGCGTGCTGCAGCTGCTGCTCTTGCGCAGCGAGCCGCATGCAGCCTCGATGCAGGTGGCTGCGTGCTGCAGCGCGCAGCCAGCTGCCTAGAATGCAGGCAGCTGCGTGCTGCAGCGCGCAGCCAGCTGCCCGCATGCAGGCAGCTGCGTGCTGCAGCGCGCAGCCAAGTGCCTGCGTGCGGGCAGAGGGCTTGGTGCTGCAGCATGCAGCGAAGTGGCTGCATGCAGTTGGCTGCGGGGGGCAGCTGGTCAGTGCACATCTGAGCTGCTGAAGTGCTGTGCAGGTATGCATGCTTGTCATTGTGTCAAACACAGTCTAAAAGCTTCACAACAGAAGCTGCATGTCAGAAGAAACAGGCGAACAAAAACAGAAACAGGCAAGCAAAAGTAGAAACAGGCAAGCAAAAATAGAAACAGGCAAACAAAAGTGCGAGTCAATGCAGCGCAGTGGAGAAGGATGCTGTTGCGCAGCCACTGTCATGAGCTGCGTACCGCTCGGGCGCGAGGTAGCAGCGCGAGCGCTTGGCAGACTCGAAGAGGAGGCTGTAGACGCGCATGTCTCTCAGGCGCAAAACGACATCTTTCCAGGGAGCGGCGTCAGTGAGGAAGAGGTGGAGGCTGGAGGTGAGGCCCAAGTTTTCAGTCTTGAGGTCGCAGTGGGCAAAGGCCAGGCTGTGCAGCTGCGCCACTGCGGCCAGCAGCTGGAAGCACAGGAACAGCAGCTGCATGCAAGACGCTGCTGGCCGCGCGTGCAGCCGGCCCCACACCGTGCTGCTGAAGTACCGCCGCAGCAGCAGCGCCGAGCGCTCCGCCAGCAGCAGCCGCTCGTCCGGGCAGCTGCACACAGCAGCAGCAGCAGCAGCCTGCAGCAGCTCTCTGGCACTTCTCCACAAATGGCCATGGGTCTTTAAACGGGGCAGCTCCGCTTCAAGACGCAGCAACGGGCCCGCGAAAATCAACAGCAATTATGCACAGCTTCTCGTGAAAAAGCAAACACGCAGCAGCAGCTGCAGCAGCGGCAGCAGCTGCAGCAGCTGCAGCAGCTGCAGCAACAGCAGCAGCTGCAGTTGCTGCAGTTGCTGCAGCAGCTGCTGTGCTGCGCGCAGGCCCGGAGGCCAGTTGCCTCTGTGGAATAGTGCGCCGAAAGAGACAGAGCGCAGGCAGCGGCGCAGCAGCGGGGGATCAGCAGCACAGCAGCCAGCAGCAAAAGCCAGAAGCAGCAGCAGCACCAAAAGCGCCACTCAAAATGCACTAAAGATGCATGCAGCAAGAGAATAGCTTGGGGGGAGCGACACCGCTGCAGCAGCCTGGGAAGCCCCAGCAGCACGTGGAGTGCACAGAAGGAGACAGCGAGAAAAACAAAAGACAAAAATGCTGCAGCCACGAAGTAGAAGAGCCAGCAAAGAGCTGCGCAGCACAAATTGAAGTAATTGGGCAGAAGAAGACAGGCTGGAGCGAACAGAAAAAGAAAAGAAGGATCTAATTAAAGGGTTTCACAATTTAAAATGCCTCATTCGTCTTCAAGAGTCAAAACACTCCATTTGTCTTTCGAACAGGCCGTCGACAGACATGTTTGGGTACAAGTCGAAAGTGAAGACAGCCTTGTGGAGGAGCTTCTGGGCCTGGAAGCGGCGCAGCTCAAGGGGGGGCCCTTTGGTTCCCGCGGCATTCTTGTTGACGAAGAGTTTGCAAAATGTCAGTCCGTCGGTGACTGAGACGCACAGGAGGCTGCTGCAGACCCGCGAGGTGGATATACACCCCACCGCGTGCAGAAACGGGTAGTCTTCCATGTGGCTGCGCTGCTCATCTGTAAGGGGGGAAGTGGGGCTCTGGGAGGACAGCTGGCTAAGCTCCCCGGCCGGAAGCGCTGGGCTCAGGCCCGCAGACACGGTGTTGCCCATCTTGCTGCTGCTGCTGCTGCTGCTGCTGCTGCTGAGGGGTGCAGTTGCGGTCAGTCCCACGGAGAGGCCGCCTGCCGCGGAGCGCACGCTGTGCTCAGGAGAAGCCCCCGACGCAGCCACATGACTTTTCAGCCGCGGCTTGTTCGACGGTGTGGCGTGCGCTGCTGCTGCTCCGCTGCAGCATGTGCTGCAGCTGCTGCTGCGCTGCTGCTGCTGGGCAAGACAGCGCGCGGGGATCAGCAGGAAGACAGCTTCTGTACCGTTACGCAGCTACCATAGAAAGTGTACAATATAATAAAATCTTCTATTTCGAGAAGTTTGGAATCCTGAAGACTGCAGTGTGCTGTCAACACGGTAGCGAACCAATGGGCCATCCGGAGTCGTTGCATGCGCTCGTAGCTCTTCTGTTGCAAGGGGCTGCAGGGCTTCTCTTAACAATGTCCTTTTAAGGCCTTAATGCCCTAAATGACGCATTAGTGAAGCGTCTACATTGGATTCTTGTGGCTTCAGCCGTTGCTGTCACTCCAGCAAGAGCAGCAACCGGCGCGCCAGCCCGTCCTGTCTGAGCGGCGCCAGCCACAAAGGTTCCGTCGTGTTTTTGGTCTATTAACCTCATAAAGAAGGATTGCTGCATCCACACAGGGCAAACCTTTCTTTTGGGCGCTTCATGCTGCTGCTCACCGCGCACCCCTGTGCTGAACGCCGTATCGACCACGCTGCGGCTTCTCTGCCGCTGCTGCTGCTGCTGCTGCAGTGTGTCCACCTTTGGTTCTTCTGCCTGATACACTAAGTCAGTAGAGGCGGCGTTTGAGAGGAAGAAGCAGAATCTAGAATCTCCGCATCCGCAGCAGCAGCCCCGCACCAGCGCAGAAGAGCGGCCGCCAAAATAGCGGAAGCAGCAGTGGCATTACAAAGGGAAAGCTTCACGACGCTGAGGGCAGGCGAAGGCAGATACTGAAACAGTAGCGAAGGCAGCAACCGCAGCAGCAGCAGCAGCAGCGGCATCACTGGCAGCCCCTGCAGCAGCAGCAGCAGCAGCAGCCCTTCTGGTGTGGCGCCGATATGGATACGCCCCTAGGCCAGAGTGGCCCCGCTGGGGGAACGGCGCCAGGGGGCCCCGGGGAAAGGAGCCCCAGTGACGCTGCTAGCCAGCATGAGGCCACGGCCAATGCCCAGGCAGCAGCCGCACCTGCAGCAGCAGCAGCAGCAGCAGAAGCAGCAGCGGCAGCAGCAGCAGCAGCAGATGCTGCGGACAAAAGAGGGGCCGCAGAAGAAGCGTCCTTAGTTTGTTTAAGAGGGGCTTCGCTTAACAGCAACCAGAGCACAAGTCTGGAGGACACTCGCGGAGGCGCCTGGGATGGCTGCCCCTTTTCAGACTCCAGGCAGGCCGCTGCTGCTGCTGCTGCTGCTGCTGCTGCTGCTGTTGCCCGTGCTATCAGTGAAGCATTAATGCTGTTGTCGCTGCTACTGCTCCTGCCTGTCATTGAAGCTTTAGTGCTGCTGCTGCTGCTGCTGTTGCTGCTGTTGCACCGATCGCTGCGTTGAGCTTTCCTTGCGACGCTGCTGCTTCTGCTCTTGTTGCTGCAGCAGCAGCAGCAGCGGCGGCAGATACCTGCGCCTCTTCAACTGGATGGACTTTCCGGCCAGGGCCCCGCAGCCCCCTGCGGGCCCCCACATTCCTTGGGCCTCTGCTGCTGCTGCTCTTCAGGGTGCCAACGGCAGCCACAGCAGCAGCAGCAGCAGCAGCAGCGGCAGCAGTGACATCGTACCGTCTGCGGGAGCAGCACCGGCGCCATCATCAGCAGCAGCAGCAGAAGCAGCAGCAGCAAGAGCTCCATCCAGGGAAACCCCCCGTATGGTCATCGGGGTCTGCGCAATGCGCGTGAAGACCGACAGTAAGCTGCTGCTGCTGCTGCTGCTGCTGCTGCTGCGCCCCCTCAGGCGGGCCAGCTGAGGGTTTGGGGCTGAAGGGTTTAGGGTTTTGGCCCCAGGGCGATTAGGGCCAGTTTTAGTTTGCAGCCAATCTAGAGGCAGCAAAGTGCAGCCAGTGTAGCTCGTTTGAGACTGTCTTTTAATTTTCTGTGTCCTCTTTAGCTGGCTCCAGCAGCAGAGGCAGACAGTTTGTTAACGCCCTGCGCCGAGAGCCCACCTCCAGGGTTTAGGGTTTAGGGTTTAGGGTTTAGGGTTTAGGGTTTAGGGTTTGGGGTGCAGCCTCCACCGCTGGGCGGGGGCTCAAGAACACTTGGCAATTTGGCATTTTGGCTTCAGGCTTTTATCTTTTCCTCTCAGGCCGCCCCATGAGGGAAATCCTGGAGCGTCTTGAAAACTTCGAGGAGTTTGCAGTTCTTGTTTTCGACGAAAAGGTCAGCTTCCGGGGCCCGGGGGCCCCGGGGCCCCGGGGCCCCACCACTGGGGGGCCCCGGGGCCCCCAGTGGTACCCTTTGCTGGTCCCTGTAGACCCTGGCCCGGCCGCTGCAGCTTGCGGCCATTTGAGGGGCCTCTGATGGGGCCCCTTGTGGGCATTTTGGGGCCCCTGGCCTTTCTTTCCACTTTGCTTCGCTGGGCCTTTCTGAGCTGTGGGGCCCCTGTGCCTGCGGTGCTCTTTGCTTGCTGACTTCTGTTCTATTTCTTGTTGCTTTCCCGATTCTTTTCCGTTTATTTCCATTTCACTTTCTGGATTTTTGCTTCTTGTGTGCCTCTACAGCTTGCGCTGGCAGCAGCAGCTTTTGTGCTGCGCATTTAGCTGCTTTCTAATATCTTTTGTGTGCTAGTGTCTGTCCTAGTTGTTGCTGCATTTGCTGCCTGCGGCGATGTGTCTGCTGCTGCTGCGCTGCTGCTGCGCTGCTGCAGGTTATTCTGGAGGCGCCCATAGAAGAATGGCCCCGCGTGGATGGTTTGGTGGCATTTTTCTCTTCTGGTTTTCCCCTCAACAAGGCCATTGCCTACGCCCAGAAGTACAAGCCAATTCTCCTTAACGATCTTTCCAGGCAGCAGATCATTAGAAACAGAATCAGCATCTACAAAGTCCTTCGAGTGAGGCTGCAACCACGCGCCGGCTGCTGCTGCTGCTGCTGCTGCTGCTGCTGCTGCGTAAAACGCTGCTGTCACCGCTGCTACAAGTGCCAGGACTGCTGTTGCTGCAGCTAGCGCTTCGTTGCTGCTGCTGCGCTTGTTTCTGTTGTGGCCGTGGCCCTTTTGTGGCGGTCGGGACGCTGCGTCTGCTGCTGCATGCGGGTTGGCGCGCTGCTGCTGCTGCTGCTGCTGCACCTCTGCTGCAGCAACACGGGATTCCGCACCCCTCTTACGTCGTGGTGGACTACAACGCCGTGCGCAGGGGCGACGCGGTCTTCTCCGAGGGCTACGACTACCTCAGCATTAACGGCCAGCGCATTAACAAGCCCTTCATAGAAAAGCCCCAGGAGGCCGACAACCACGACAACTGGATCTACTACCCGAAGAATGCGGGTAACGCCGCACTGCCTGGGGCTGCTGCTGCGCAGTGGCTATTGCGGAGGCTGCGGTGGTGCTGCTGCTGCTGCGCTGCTGCTGCTGCGCTGCTGCTGCTGCGCTGCTGCTGCTGGGGCTGCTGTGGCTGCTGGCGTGGCGGTTGCTGGTTTGCGCACAACTTGGCCTGTCGTTTCACTTTCTTTGAGGCGTAGATGGCTCGCTTTTTGGTTCCGTTATTGGATCACTGCTGCTGCTGTTCGTGACTAAATCTGCTGCTGCTGCTGCTCTGGCTTTTTGTGGCTATATCTACGGCTGCTGCTGTTGCGGCTCTGCGGGCTGCAGGCGGTGGCTGCAAGAAACTCTTCCGGAAGCAGCAAAACAGCAGCAGTAGTTACTTTCCAGATATCCACCAAGTGCGCAAGGATGGCGTCTACCTTTACGAAGAATTTCTCCCCACCTTTGGCACTGATGTGAAGGTGGGGCTATTTGCGGAGGGCTGTCTCTGGCCGCACTATAAAGTTCGAATTATTTCTGTTGCTATTTTATTTATCTTTTTGTTTAGAAGGCCTTCTCGGCCAAAGACGCTCACTGGGAGTCTACGCTGCCCCGACTGTCCGGACTTCTGATTCTGCTGCTACTGCTGCTGCTGCTGCTGCTGCTGCTGCTGTTCTTGTTTCAAGGTATACACCGTGGGCCCGCTGTTTGCTCACGCTGAAGCGCGCAAGAGCCCCAGTGTAGACGGCGTGGTATGTCGCTCAGCAGATGGTGAGCGGTTATCACTAAGTTCCGTTTGCTGCAGCTTTTGTCTTGTTGCCGGAGCAGTTTCTGGGGTTCAGGGGACCAGGACTTTGCAGACTTCGCAGGGTTTAGGGCTTAGGGTCTAGACTTTCCGGTTTAGGGTTTAGGGCTTGAGATTTCGACCCTCAAAGCCACTTATCCCCTCTCGTTACATATTTATCGTGTTGCCTCGCATTTTCGACCGTTTTGCGTCCAAGTCCGTTTCTGGGCATTTCCAGTTTCCTTCTGATGTGTGGCACTGTCTTCTTTTATGTCTGTTTCCTTCCTCTTTATTCCTCTGAACTTCTGCGTTTCAATTTTTTTGGTCTGTGTTGCTTCTGGCTGCTGCTGTGTGCCACCCCCCTGTTCTCTTGCATGCCTCTGTGGTGTCTCGTGCCAGTTTCCATTTCCTTGCTGCAGTTTGCTGCTGCTGCAGCAAACTGCAGCGCATGCGCTGCTGCTGTAGCAAAAAGTATCCAGGCTACCCCTCTCAGGGGCCCCTTGAAGGGCCCCTGAGGGGCCCCTGTCCCGGTGTGAGTGCCCCCAAGGGCTACCCCCATGGGCATTTGTGGCTTTAAACATGTGTGGGGCCCCCAGCTACTTGTGTGCGGCTTATTTGTTAGGCAAGGAGGTGCGGTACCCAGTTATTCTCACGGAGATAGAAAAGTGCATCGCCTTCAAACTCGTCAGAGCTTTCCAGCAGGTCGTCTGCGGGTGGGTCTCGCTGCGGGCAGCAGCAGCAGCAGCAGCGGCAGCAGGAGAAGCAGCAGGAGGAGCAGCAGGAGAAGCAGCAGCACCCAAGGATGCCCGTCCTGTATCTTTTCGGAGACAGCGCAGCATTCTTGCTGCGCTGCATACGCTGCAGCCTGCCTAGCTGCAGCAGGGCAGGGCATATGTGCCCTTTGCTTCTCTGTTGTGCTGCTGCTGCTGCAGATTCGACATTCTGCGGACAAGTCGGGGGCCGTTTGTGTGCGACGTCAACGGCTTTTCGTTTGTGAAGTCCAACATAAAGTACTACGAGGACTGCAGCAGCATTATTCGTCTTTACTTTTTGAAGAAGCTGGCGGACCGCTGCGCGCGGGGCGCGTTGCATGCGACGGTGCCGAGCACTGCAGCTTTGCTGCGGCAGCAGCAGCAAAACCTGGAGCACTACCTGGCGCAGCAGCAGCGCCGCTGCCCCCACGGGGAAAGGGCCCTGAGGGGCCTCTTCTGGCTGCCGGGGGGCCCCCACGCGGGGCCCCTCTCAGCACCCCTAGAGGGAGAGGCCGGGGCTACTCCCCCCAGACTGCCGCGGTGCCTCTGCATGGCCTTAGAAAGTGAAGAAGAGGCCGAGGGGGTGGAGGAGGAGCTGCGGACAGTGGTGGTGGTGATGCGCCACGGGGACAGGAGGCCGAAGCAGAAGCTGAAGTTTTTGTCCACGCAGCCGCTGCTGCTGCAGTACTTCACGCAGCAAAACTCCAAAAAGGAGATCAAACTCAAAAGCCCCGAAGAACTCAGAGACCTCCTCGAGAGAAACACGGACATCATCACCACACTTGTGCGACACACGCTAAACCCTCGCTGCTGCAGCTGCTTCCTCAGGGTTTTGCTGCTGCTTCTCATGACCTCGCTCGCACCTCCACTCTGGGCTTGGGCTCCTGTTGCTCGGGCTGCTGCTCGTGCGGCGAGAACTGCTGCCTTTGCTGCAGCGCCTGCTGCAGCTGCTGGCGGCAAGCCTACTTGAGGCTGTGTTTCTTTTGCTTGATAAGGTGGCTCTGTGGCTCCAATAGAGCTTATGTTCACACTTTGCCTCAATTTAGATTGGGCAATTTCTGTGGGTCCTGTGTGGCTGCAGGGACGGCAAGTTGCTGCTGCGAGCCAGGAGCTGCAGGAGAAGGGCGCAGCAGGAGGTGAATGCGACTTGTCGGGTTTGAGCTCTGCAGAGGGGTCGTCCCAGCAGCAGGACAGCAGCAGCAGCAGCAATACCAGCAGCAGCCACAGCAGTCCCTGCAGCAATGCAGCAGAGAAGCTGGGCTCTCTGGAGGCTTTAAAGGCAGAACTGAGGCTGCATAAGCAGCTGCAGAAAGTGCTGCTTCAGGGCGACGGCTTCGCCGGAATTAACCGAAAGATACAGCTCAAGCCAAAGAGGTGGGCCAGAGAACCAGAGCCTCCTCAGTCTGTTACCTCCTGCTCTCCTCCTTCCCGGGAGTCCTCTAAGCAGCAGCAGCAGCAGCAGCAGCCGGTGCAGGCAGCTCAAGAAGCAGAGCAGCAGCAGCAGCAGCAGCAGCGCCAAGGCGAGGCCGCTGGAGGAGAGTCGGCTGGAAGTGGTAGCAGCAGCAGCGTTGGAGTCATGCGGACCTGCAGCGTGCCGCTGCTGCCGTCGTCTCCTGTTTGTCTGCTGTCTCCATCTGCTGCTGCTGCTTCCTTCTCGCTCGCGGACAAGAACAAGCGCTCGTCTGCTTCAAGTCCCGTGGTCCCTCCCAGCGCCGTCGCTGCGGGGGCTGCTGCTGCTGCAGCTGCTGCTGCTGCTGTGGCCAGGTGGCAGGAGAGCGCCAGCCGGGGTGCTTCCAGCAGCACGCCTGCTGCCAAGCAGTCCAGTGGCAGCGGCACTGTCGGCAGCAACAGCAGCGCGGCCTGGGGCAGCAACTCGAGCAGCCACAGCAGCACTCGCCTAGAGAGTTGTGTTGTAGTTGCAAAGTGGGGCGGCGAGCTGACGGCTATTGGCAGGAAGCAGGCAGAAGACCTGGGCCAGCGCTTCCGCTATCAGCTCTACCCAGGTTTGTGGGTGCCGCTGCTGTTGCTGCTGCTGCTGTTGTTGCTGCTGCAGTTGTTGCTGCCCCGGGACAGCTGCTAGGGAACAGCTTTCCCGAGCCTGCTTTGTCTGGCTGTGCTCCAAGTACCACTGAGGTGTTGCTGCTGCAGCGGCTGCGAGGACCTGCTGCAGAGCCTGAGTGCAGCGTGTTTGTGCTGATGAGCCCTAGGGTGTAGGGCCTAGGGTTTAGGGTTTGGGGTTTAGGGTTTTGATGTGGGCTGCAGGGGACAGCGCGGGGCTGCTGCGGCTGCACAGCACTTTCCGCCACGACTTCAAAATATACACGAGCGATGAGGGCCGGTAAGCCATTTGTGTGTGCACGCCTGAGTTGTGTTTGTGTGTGTGTTTGTTGCCCACTTGGTTTTTTTGTCACTTGTTCTAAATTTAAAAAGCCTTGAATAGATGGCATTGTACTGGTTGATTCCCCCATTTAAATGCGATTAAATAGTGCTAAATTTTGGAACAGATCCAACTCACTTTTGCCAACAGCCGCTGCTGCTGCCGCTGCTGCTGCTGCACTGCTGCTGGGCTTTGATGTGCGCTGGGGGCGCCTGCGGCCTGTTTGCTGCCAGCTGCCAGATCACCTCCGCCGCCTTCACCAAAGGGTTTCTTGACTTGGAAGGAGAATTGACTCCAATTCTTGTCGCCCTTGTTATTCACAACCGCAAGGCCTACTCGTTGCTGGACGAGGGTTCGCAGTGCGCCAGCGAGAAGAGGGTCAGCTAGCAGCAGCACAGGCGGCCCTGCAATGCAGCAGCAGCAGCAGCGAAAGCAGCAGCAGCGAATCTATCAAGCAGCAGCTGCTGCTGCTACCCAGTTTCCAGAACACTGCCACACAGTCCTAGGCTGCATACTTGTAACACGCACGGACTCCAGTTGCTGACAACCCGGCTGCAGCTTCTGCAGCAGCAGATCCTCCGTCTGCTGCGGCTGCTTTTATTGCGACAGCAGCAGCTGCTTCCGTTGCTGCAGCAGTGCGTTTTCGCGCAAGTGTTCATTATTTGGTTCTCTGCTGCTTGTGGGTTGCGCCCTTTACAGGTGCTGAAGCAGTGTCTGGATTTCCTGCTCAACTTGAACGACGAGCAGCTGAACGCGTTGAAGGCGAGCGTTCTGGAGTTGATACGGCGGCGGCAGGAGCAGCAGCAGCAGCAGCAGCAGCCGGCAGAGGAGGCTGCTGCTGCCGGAGGCGGGGAAGAGCCAGGCGCTGCAGCAAGAAAGGGGGAGGGCGAGGCCCACGTGGGGCCGCTTCGCCGGGACGGCCGAGAGGCCGAAGAGCCCTGGGGCGCAGAGCGCCTCTTACTAAACTGCCCAGAAGCAGACATTGCCCTCATCCCGAAGCAGCTGGAGGCCCTGCAGCGGCTGCAGTCCCCTGTGGACAGGCAAAAGGAGGTCAGCGCGCCGCAGAGTCCAGCGCGTTCTGGGGCAAACAGCAGCAGCTAGGCCTACTGGGGCATGTGGGGGCAGGGGCTGCGTAGCAAGCAGCACACAGCAACAGCAGCAGTAGCAGCAGCAGCAATAGCAGCAGCAGCAGCAGCAGGACTGGCGAGTGGCAGTTGTGTGCAGGAGTTGTGGGTGTGTGCGTCAGATTTTGTCTCTGTTGAAAACGTTTCTGGAGCTGCTGGACCCCTTGATAGAAGAAGTGACTGCGGGAGACCCCGAGGGCTCTTCCACGCCTATTTCCTCCGCCCCGCCTTCTCTCAAACAAGCAGCAGCAACAAAGCTCGTCGACATGAAAAGCAGATGGGAGAAGATTGCAGCAGACTGGTGAGTCTCCACAAGGAGTTTGAGGGCCGTAGAGACAGAGACTGCGGGAGAGGGGGAAGAGAGAAACAGCGCCAGCAGATGCGGGTTGCTGCTGCTGCTGCTGCTCCTGTGCGTGTGTGTGTGTGTGCCGCTGCTGCCCCTCGAAAGAGATGCAGCAGCAGCAGAAACGCTGCGCGACTCCCAATAGAGCGTTGTAGCACCTAGGGACACCACTGAGCTGCAACTGAGGGCCTCGGGCTGCGGGCAAGCTGCGCAGAAGCCGGGAGGCAGCAGCTGGAACTGTTTTGTTGTGCACTTTTGTTTGTCTACAGGTACAAGGGTGGCGTGTTTGACAGCAGCAAAGTGTCAGACATTTTGGACATGATCCGCTACGAGCTCATCCACCACTGTTACCTTCTCTCTCGAGACGGTGAGCTGCCCTGCGTCGAAAATGGGCAGTGTCTGCTGCTGCTGTTGCTGCTGCTGCTGTTGCTGCTGCTGCTGTTGCTGCGCCGTTTTTGACAACAGCGGCGCGTGTGGTGGCGGCGGTCTGTGCTTCTTCAGGTGTACAGACAGCTATAAGCATCCACAACCGCATCAAAGACCTGCAGGAAGCAGTTGCTGCTTTTGCTGCTGCTCACAGCAGCGACGAGAAGCTGCGTCTCGCAGTTCCCGTCGTCAGCCGCCTCATTCGCAAGATCTTGAGAGACGTCACTTTCTTCAGGTCAGCCCAAAGCGGCAACCCCAGGGGTGCGCGGCTAGCTATCTAGCTAGCTAGCTGAATGGCGCCGCGGCGGATTTAGCATCTAGCGCGCGAGACAGCTAGCTAGCCAGCTAGCTAGCTAGCCAGTTATCCACCTAGCCAGCTAGCGAGCTAGCCAGCAGGCATTCGGGGTGGCAGGTAACGCTGGGAGACTGCCTTTGGCTTACTGGTTTTAATCTGCTGTTGATGTTTTTTCTTTAAAATTGAACAAGCAGGGAGCAGCATCTGCAGGGAATTGTCCTAATAATAGGTCAGCGCTTGTGTCAGGCTCTTGGGATTCTTTTTGGCCTCCGTCTGTTTTTTCAGAAGCGACGACTCGCAGCAGAAGTCTCAGCCGCCGTCGACCAACCCCTCTTGCTTCTCGTGCAACTTGGACTGGGGCACTTCCTTGGGGGCAGCAGCAGCAGCAGCAGCAGCAGCAACGTCTGAGGAAGCGACAGCGGAGCTGAACGCGCTGGAAGCAGCAGCAGAGGCCGCCGAATTGCCTACTGCTGACCCTGCGGCTGTTGGCTCTTCTACGGGGTCTCGAACTCCAGCATATGGAGACACTGGAGGCCATCTAAAGGAAGATCTCCCGGCCTTCAGAGTTCCCCGCAGAGGCAAAACTGTTACCGGCAACTCCCGCAGCAGCAGCAGCACCTTGGGCCGCAGCTGCAGCCCCTCCTGTCTCAGCACTGCGGGAGGAAACTCTTCGCACCGTGCAGCAGGTAGGCTTCCCCGAGAAATGCAAATAAGTAAAAGCAGCAAAGGACAGAGTTTGAGTTATTTTCTGGCCTCAGAAGTGCAAATAAATAAAAGTTAGAGGCAGAGCTCGAGTCATTTTCTGGCTAAGTCTTCGAGAGCTCTCCTGCGCCGAATTAGCCCTACAGCCTCGTGTGGTGGGGGGGTCTTTCGGTGAGTATCAAATTGCTCATATTTAAGAATTTTAATCAATATTTCTCTATTTTATGCTACTGCATTTGTGCTGCACAGCTGAAGGGCTTCAATCTCCTAGAGGGGGCGGCGCTGGTATCGGTGGAATAATGTCCGGAGCAGCAGCAGCAGGAGGGTCCCCCAGAGAGCGGCGCAGCTGCTCCCCCCCGGGGGCCTCCAGTGGGGGCCCCGAGCTGCGGCGGGGCCTCGACTCCCGGTGCAGTCCTGGGGGAGGTGGGGCGACCCGCAGCAGCAGCACGCAGGGCCGCTCGAGCAGCAGCAGCCGCCACGACTGTGCTGCTGCTGCGGCGGGCGGGAAGGGCAGCAGCGGGCGCAGCAACAGCCGCAGCAGCGGCAGCTCCATTGCATGCGGCGGCAGCAGCAGGGGACGCGGCAGGTGCACTCCCCCAGGGGGCACAGCGGGGGTGAGTGGCCCCACTGACATGGCGCTGAGGCCCCTGGGAGTTGCTTGTGGGGTCGGTGGGATCGTCTCCGGGGATGCTGCTGAAGCTGTTGTTATCAACAGCAACGACTTGTGGGCACACCAGCAAACGGGGCCGCGGGGCAAGAAGGATAAGGCCCTCAAACTCAAGAGGGAAGAGCACGAGAAGCAAATGCAGCAGCTGCACCTTGAGCACGTACAAACCAAGCTCAAGCTGCTGCAGCAAGACGCCACAGACAACCGCTGCCTAACGACCCCCCTGCACCAGCAGCTACAGCAGCAGCTGCAGCAACAGCTCCAGCAACAGCTGCAGCAGCAGCTAGCCAGTCGCGACGCTGCAGGACCCTCTCAAGAGCTGCAGCATCCCCAGAAACAACCAACAACGCCCAGCGACCAGCTGCTGCAGGAGCACCTGCAGCAGCGGCAAGTAGGCGCTTCTTCGGGTCCAGCTGCCTCGACGCCATTCGAGGGCAGCCTGCTGCCTTCTCGGCAAGACTCTGAGAACCAGCAGCAGCTGCAGCAGCAGCTGCAGCAACATCTGCAGCAGCAGCTCCAGCTGCAGCAGCTGCAGCAGCACCAAGACACCCGCAAGGCGATGGAGAGAGGCGCATCAGCCGAAAACACAGCGGGAGATCGCATGCAAAAGGCAGCTCAAGAACAGCCAGAGGCAGCAGCTGGGGAAGAGGAAGAAGAACATGAGGATGATGATCCCCACCAGCACGAGGTCAGACTTGCTGTTGGAATTGCGGGGCTGCATGCGAGCTGCCAGCGCACTCCTGCCCTTACGTCAGCCCCACAGCACCATTGGCTGTTGCTCGTCCTGCTGCTGCTGCTGCTACTGCAGGTTGCTGCTGAGATCCGCCTGAAGGAAGGCGAGGCCCATCTTTTCGGGATCCGATCCCCCTGGCGGATTGTCCGGAGCCGCTTTTATGTCACCAGCGCCAGTCATGTAGAGGTAAGCCCCGCCGCAGTGCCAGCCCTTTCCCGCGTCTGCAGCAGTTGCTGCGGCCTGTGCTGCTGTGTCCCATGTTACTGCTGTTGCTCGCTGCTAAGGCTAGGGGTTCATTGGGGCTTCGTTGCTGCAGTATCAATCTGTAGGTTTGCGTCTGTTGCTCGTTCAAATTCGAGTGCTGCGCATGCTGATGTTGCTTTTGCAGCAGTCGCTTTATTGCTGCTGCTCCTGCTGCTGCTGCTTGTCCGCTTCAGGCGCTCCTAAATGTGTTGCTTCTCAGCCACAGAGCGGTCGCCTGCAACCCCTGCAACGCAGCGCGGGCCGAAGCAATAAACCAGGGGGCAGCTCGATCAGCAGCAGCAGCTGCTGCTGCTGCAGCAGCTGCAGCAAAACCAGGTGATGCTGTTGGAGCCGCTGGTGAGGGCAGCACAGGAAACGCCAAGAGCGCTGAGGAGAATGCTGCAGGAGATGCAGCACAGCCGCAGTTCAAGCCCATCTTGGATCGAGACTTGCGGGTAAATCGCCTTTGCTTCCATTTGCATGCTTTCTTGTGTCTTGGGCTATTTGCGCGTCCCTGTAGCTGCTATTTCTAGCTTCATTCTATACGCCTGTAGCAGCAGCAGCACGGGCCTGAAGCAGCCGCGGCCGCTGCCTCAGACCCAGGCTGGAAGGCAGCTGGGCCAGCCTGCAGGCCAGTTCTCTTGCTTTTGTTTCTTCTTTACATTTCGCGGTCTAGGGTTTAGGGCTAAGCGCTCGGGGGCGATGGTTTTAATACTGTGGGGTTTAGAGTGGCAGTCTGTCTGCCGCCCGGGCTGCTGAAAGGGGTGTTGCAAGCCGCGTGGGAGGTGTGTGGATGTTCGGATCTCAGTGTCTAGGGTTTAGAGTTTAGGGTTTAGGGTTTAGATTTTTGCCCAACAGGGGCTGTGCTCTGTGTGCCTGCGGCCCGCAGGACTTGCTGGGGCAGTGCGAGCTGCACTACCTTTCGCACATCGTCTTCAGGGTTTGGGAAAGAAGACGGGCCAGGCCGGCTTCGGGGCCCCTCAGCGCACAAGACCAACAGCAGTGGCAGCAGCAGCAGCAGCAAGATGAGAAGCGGCGGTACCGCCTGGAGATTTTCTTCAGCACGGGGGCCCGCGACGGCTTCGGGGAGAATTTTTACCTCTTGGAGCGGAAGGCACGTCAGCAGCAGCAGCAGCAGCAGCAGCAGCAGCAGCAAACAGCGCCCACCTCCGCCTCCAGCTGCCGCCCGCAGCTGTGGCGAGAAGTGCACCAGCAGGAGGAGGACGAGGCCCAGTCGCACCAGCTTCACGAAGTGAGGCTCTCTGCAGAGGCCCCGGGGGCGCCTCCCCAGGGCGCTGCAGAGGCAGCGGGGGACTGCAGGGAATGCAGCAAATGCAGGTACTGTCTCTCTGCTGTCAGAGTAGGATCTTGCTCTTGGTGCGTTAGGCAGGAGGGCGCGGGCAGCAGCACGGCGAGCAGCAGCAAGAGCAGCAGCGGGGGCCCCGCCGCCCAAGGCATGAGCGACTCAAACTGCGCATGCAGAAAGCCCTACAACAACCGCGTTCCCCCGTACTGCGAAATTGCCCCTCTTCTACCCCTTGGCCGTTCTGTTGATGTCGGAGACTTCGACACTCTCATGACAGAGGTAAGCAGCAGCACAGGTCTGCGGGCAGTCAGGGGCCCCCAGCCCTCCCGGGGCCCTAGTGGGGTCCGCAGGTGGGGGGGCTTTGAGGGCTTTTTGCTTTACGTTGGTGCCATGTGGCTTTATATTTGTGCATCTGTACATATTTGGCCATACAGTGCTTCTTCATTGCCTCAAGGCACGCGAGAGGGCAGCAGTTGGGCTGCCCCTTGCGCTGCGCTTTTGGTCAAATTGAGGCCAGTTGTACTGCTGCTTGAATCTAGTATGTCTTGCTTTCCATGTTTAGAGGAGCAGCAAGAAGGCAGAGTGCGTGTGTCGAGTGTACTTGCAGGTGCTGCGGCGTTACGGCGACGCGGGGGTTCAGCGCAGCCGCCCTGAGAAGCCAAAGGCTGGCTGAAGAGCCAGACACTTGACAGAAGCAGTTTGACAATAAAGGGTTATATGAATGAAAGGGGTGAATCTTTGGCCCATTGGTTTTCTTCTGAAGGCTGCTTGAGGGTAGCCAAGCATTGGCGGCGCGGCGATGTGTTTTCAAGCCGCCGTGGCTCTGCTGCTGCTGCTGCTGTGGACTCAATATCACACCCAGTTTTAGAAATGTCGCTATTCTAGGGCCCGAATAGGCCCCATTTGGCTGCTGTTTGGGGCTTGGTGGCCGCAGCGCAAACTCTGTGCGCTGGCGCCTACATGGCGGGCCCAGCCAAAGCTGTGGCCGCCGCTGCCTCTTAACCCCTTTTATTCAAACAACAGCATGCGCAGCAGGCCTGTAGAGAGCTTCGGGCGCTTGCTGAGTGGGTTGGCTTTTCTGTGGCAGCGACAGTTTCCTGGTTTTATGTTGTGTCTTTCAAACATCGCCACATTTCGAAGCATTAAAGTTGCCGGTAGCTGTTGGGTTAGCCAGGAGCTAGCTAGCTAGTAATCTAGCTAGCTAGTAAGCCAGCTAGCTAGCTTTCGGGCTTGTCCCACTGCATTCTAGAGACACTACGGACTGCAAGTGTTGGGTTTCTCAAACAAGTTGCTTTGGCTGCCCCCGAAGGGCGCGGGCCGCAGCAGCAAAAGAAGTCCCCAAGTCAGTTTCTTAGTTCACAAGCAACACAAAACGGTACTTGAAGCATATCAGAGGCAGCAGTGAAGAGTCTCAGGCCTCTACGAGGGCCAAGGGGGCCAAGAGGATGTCCTGGGATCTCCCTTCTGTCCTCCGTTTGCATATGCGTCTTCGTTTGCCCGTCAGTAGGCACGCAAGCCTACAGGGATTTTGCTTGTGTGTCAGTGTCTGTGTTATTTGTGTACCTTTTCATTGATGTGTCTATCTCGCTTGGCCATGTGGTTCGCCTTTCTTTGTGCACTGTGTCTTTGCAATTGCATGCAACCTGTTGTACGCCTTTTTCCCCCGCACCAGCCGAGCGCCCTGTGCGTGCCACAGGGCTGGCGCTGTGACCAGTGGTCCCTAGTGGTCCCCCGCGGAGCCGCCAGCACTAAGCCCTTGCTGCAGCACGCTCTTGCTGCAGTCACCGGGGCAGCTGGGCCGCTGAGGGGGGCCGCGGCGCCGCAATAGCAGCTCCGGCGGGGCCCCCCGAGGCTGCGCGAAAGCTCGCGGGGGCAGAGGCAGCCACAGGGAGTATAGGGGCTGTTGAAATTGGCAAGAGCATGCAAGGGGGCGGGGCCATCACTGATGTGATGGGGCTGGGGGCTGTTTCTTTTCGGATTGCTGTGTCAGAAAGCACAGGCTCTTTGTTAAGAGTGGGCCCTCCGGAGGCTAAGCTTTCATACAAACGCCTCTGCTGCATGCCTACTCGAGTGGCTGGGGGCCCCATTGCTGCTGCGCCTGCTGCCCCTGCTGCGCTCGCCGTCAGCGGCAAAGTGCAGCGGGAGCTCTGCTGCTGCTGCTGCAGGTGGCGTTGCAGCTGCTGCTGCTGCACCACGCCCTGCGAATACCATCGAGAAGCTTCCTGCACCTGCATGTACACAAGACCCCCCGACGCTTGGCCCTTCATCTCAACAATGGGAACAGGCATTCGGGTTCCTTTTATTTGCTGCTGCTGCACTTGGGGTGTGGCGCTTCTGTGGTGAGATCTGCTGAGCAGGCCCCGGTGGTGTCGCCGCTGCGTCTGCAGCTGCAGCTGCTGCTGCAACTGCTGCTGCAGCAGCTGCTGCTGCACGAGCAGCCTCTGTTGCTGCTGGAAGAGTCTCTGCTGCTGCACGAGCCGCTTGTGCTGCTCGTGCTGCTGGTGGTGCAGCTGCGTCTGCCTTTGCTGCAGGCTCAAGACCTTCTCCTCCAACAAGTGGCTGGCCTTATCTTCAGCAGCAGCACTCTCCGTGTGAAATACCCCAGCCACCGCAGTGGCAGCTTGCTGCAGCGTCGCGCACTGCAGCAAGTCGCCGGGTCTGCTGCAGACGGAGGGGGCTGGCACGTGGCCTGCGCAGCCGCCTGTGGGCTCTAGTTGCAAGCCTTCATTTCTCTGCTGCAGCAGCAGCAACTGCTGCTGCTGCTGCAGCTGGTGCCGCAGCACAGGCCGCGGGGGCTTCGGGGACGGCTGGAACGAGTCAGCAAGCGGCTGGCACAGGGGCTGTGGGTAAGCTTTCTGTTGCTGCTGCAGCAGCTGCAGTTGCTGAAAGCCCAGCTGCTCAGTTAGGTCGGGGTGCTTGATGCTGCTGCAGCTGCTGCTGCTGCTGAGGCTAGAGAGCGTGGCACAATCCCCCACAGCAGGCGGCAGGTAGTCAACTCCATCTTGGTGCAGCACAGGCTGCGAGTGCGTGGCAGCTCTAGGCACCTCGGGGGGCCCCTGGGGCCCCTGCGCGCCTGCTGCTGCAAAAGGTGCATCCCCACTAGGTAGCAGCCAGGAAGTCTGAGTTGCAACAGCTTCTCCCAATCTGCCTGGCGACGCTCGCCGCAACGGCCGGTGTAGGCGGCGATGCTTATCCTGCTGCTGCTGCTGCTGCTGGGGAAGCTGCTGCTGCTGGAAGAGCTGCTGTTGCTGAAGGGGCTGCTGCGAGTGTAAATGCTGCTGCTGCTGCTGCTGCTGCTGCTGTTTCGGTTGATGGCGATGGTCGTGGTGCAGCTTTGGTTGTTGGCCTTGCTGCAGTTGCTGGAGTTGCTGTTGTGGTGGTGTTTGCTGCTGCTGCTGCTGCTGTAGCTGCTGCTGCAGCGCTGCGCTCTGATTCTTGGCCCCGTCCCCTGCTTTCTGCTGCTGAGTGCTGCCGTGTCCCATAGGCTTGGGCTCTTTAGGGGAGGAGTGGAAGCAGCTAGAAGGTGCCCACGTCTTAGGGCTGCTTCTGCCTTTTGAAGGAGCCTCTGCTGCCCTCTCAGGCCTGCCCACAGCCCCTGCAGCAGGAGTCGCAAAGTCCGTCTCTGGCTGTTGCTGCTGCTGCGTGGCTGGAGCTAGCGTTGGTGCTGCTGCAGCAGCTGCTGCTGGTTCGACGTCTTTTACTGGCTGCTGCTGCAGCACCTTTTTGGAAGACGGAGATGATACGGCCAGCTGTTCTCGGCCTGGGGCTGGAAAATGGCACTGTGGGGAGGCAGAGGCCCCTAAAAGAGGGGGCACGGCCACAGCTCCTTTTTCGGCCGGCTTGCTGCTGCTGCTGCTGCTGCTGCTGCCATTGCTGTTGTTTTGTTCTGTGGGTTTGTTGTCCCCTCTGGGTGTCGCCGGCTTCTTGAGCGTGTCGGCGCCGCTGCTTGCTGCTGCTGCTGTGGGCGGCAGCATCTTCGGCTGCAGCACTTCGTCTCCGCCGCCTTCACAAATCAAGCACCAGGGTTCTGTGCTGCTGCAGCTGCTGGGCTGCTCCTCGCTGGAGGCCCCACAGGCTAGCTGCTCGCAGTTAGCGCAGCTTTCAGCAGCCTGAGGGGCCCCTGCAGAAGTGGGGGGTGCTGGCTCGAAGGCTTCGCCTGGTGTTGCTGCACACCAGCAAGCGGTGGAGCTGCTGCCGTTGCTGCAGCTGCAGTGGCGGCAGCCCCTCGGCGCGTCTGCAGCAGCTTCGGGCTGCAGCAGCAGCAACTGCTGCTGCGGAGCCGGCGCCGCCTGCGGCTGCTGCAAGGGCTGCGGCTGCTGCAGGCTGCCAGACGCGTACAGCAAAAACACCGGCCTTGGGCTAACTGCCACAACAGGCTGCAGAGCCACTGGGCAAGTGGGGTAGGCCCCGCTGGCTAGCTGGGAGGGAGCCGCTAGGCAGCCACTGGCTAGCTGGGGAGAGGCGGCAGCCCAGGTCACTCCTTGCTGTTGCGCAAGCAATTGTTGCTGCTGCTGCTGCTGCTGCTGTTGTAGCGGCACAGGGCCTTGCAGCTGTAGAGGGGAGGCAGAGGACTGTGCAGCACTTTGTTTCAGCTCGGAGCAGTTTTCCCCTGGCTGGAGCGATTGCTGCTGCAACACCGCACGCGCAGGTCCCACGGTTTGCTGCTGCTGTTGCTGTTGCTGCTGCTGCTGGTGCGCGTCTCTCTGCTCCTGCTGCATCTCTTTTGGCTTTGGCGAAGGAGGGGCTTGCAGTTTGCCTTCTGTAGCTGAGGAAGGCTCTCTAGATGTTTTGCTTTTTGCTGTTTCCTCTTCTTTGCAAATGCCTTTGTCGCTCCCTAGGGTGTTTGTCTTCATTGTTCCCTCTGGCCCTGCTGCTGCTGCTGCGCCGCGCTGCTCCAAGTTGGCTTCTTTGTCAGGCAGCTTGCTTCGCTCTTTTGTCGTTTGCTGTTGCTGCTGCTGTTGCTGCTGCGGCTGGCTTGTCTCTGCCTCTGGCGGGGGACTGGGCCAGGAACCATCGTTTGGCGGGAGCTCCACGTGCTGCTGCAGCTCGTCCTGCTGCAGCACTTGGTGCAGCTTCTTGGGATGCAGTGTCTGCCCCCTGCGGTTGAGATAAAGAAGTCTGTTGCTGATGTCTTTTTCAAAAATAAAACTGCAAGACAGAGAGCGGCCTTTAGACCTCATTGATTCAGTTCTCTTTTTCCTGCTCTCCCAAGTAGACTCCCACTGGCCTCCTTCTTCTCTTTTCGCTGCTGCTGCGCTGCTGCTGCTGCTGCTGCTGCTGCTGTGTGGCACCTCTTTGTTGGCGGAACAATCGATAGAAATGCGCTTGGGTCTTCCTTGCTGCCGTTGCTGCTGCTGTGGCTGTCGCTGCTGCTGCCGCTTCTCGCGCTGCAGCTCCTGCAGCTCCTGCTGCTGCTGCTGCTGACGCGGCCCCTCGCTAGCTCCGTCTTCTTCGCTGCTTTCATCAAGAACTGTCCCCAAGTTCTCGGCTGTTCTCTCTGTTTCTGCTGCTGCTGCTGCTGCATCTTCTGGCTGGTCCCAATCTCCTCTCAACTTGCTGACGGAGACTGTCTGGCTCCGAATTCGCGAGGAAGGGGAGCCGCCAGGCGCTGCTTTTGCTGCTGCTGCTGTTGCTGTTGCTGCTGTCGAGGCTGCCCTAGGTCTCGGCAGTCCC